TCTCTCCTTTCGCCCTGGTACTCTATCTGGGCCTCCAGCCTGTGGGGACAGTGCCAATTATATCCTCCGTGGGTCTTTTCGCCTCACCTAATGCTCTCCAGAAACTTCTCACAGACATTCAAAGGTGTGCTCTACTAATCTAGGCATGTCTCAATCTAGGTGGCAATCAGCACTAACCATCACAGGCCTTGTCAGAATAGCTTTGCCTTTTTCAGAACTCAAATAATGGAATTAGAGAGTGTGTCGTCTTTTATATTTAGTTTATTTGATTTAGAATAATGCTTTTGTATTCACCAAATGTTAACTAAACCCTAGTGTGTGTGCATGTGTGTGTGTGTATGATTATAATCACAAATCCGTTTCTGGTTTTGTCTGTCTCTATAGTAAGGCTGCTTGAGTATTCAGGTACTAGCGAGGCTTTGCACATACAAAGTTTCATTTCTTTTGAGCAAACATCTGTAAGCACAGCCGCTGGGTTGCATAGCAGGAGCACAGCTTCACAAAAGCTGTGCACTAGGGGCTCTTTCAGTACTGCGATCTTGTTCAAACTTGGCACTGTTAGTTTTTCAATTTAAATTATTTGAACAGTAGTATAATCATATCACTGTGATTTTATTTTGTATTTATTTATATGTGATAAAAATGAGTGCCAGACATACCTTGCCCATTTAAAAATGTCTTTTGCTCTTGGTTGTTAAAGAGCCCTTTATATATTCTGTTTGTTTTTTAAACAATCTTTGTCTTACCTTTTCATTTTTAAATATCAACCACATAGCTATAAGTCTTTATTATTTTTCAGGCTGAGGTCTATTTTTATTTTTGTTTTGTTTGAAATAGGGTCTCATGTAGCTAAGGCTGGCCTTGAAATCACTATATAGATGAAGATGCCCTTAAACTTCTAATCCCCCTACTTCTACATCCAGAGTGTTCTGAGTGTGGGCTCTGCCACTAAGCCTAGTTGTACGTGCTGCCAGGGGTCCAATCCAAGGCTCTATGCGAGCATGCTACCAAGTGTGCCACACTCACAGCACAGTGTTCAGCCTTCACTGCAGACTATGACCTTGGACAGCATAGTCTACAACTACTTTCTTTTCATGTTTAAGACTTAAGTTAGGAATATTATAAAGTGGATAATAGCATAGCATATAAAGTGGATAAAAACAAAGGAATTCACTCATTTAGATGTGTGATAGGCAACTACTCCAACCATCTTCAGTGGTGCCAAATCCCTGGTGTTCACACCATCATGTAACCTCTTCTGTCCTTAACATGAGATGGACTTGTAGACCGTTTTATTATTATTAAAGAAATTAGTTATAACAGAATAACAGGATGTTAAATTCGGAATCACACATTTCAAAGGCTGAGTTTTGTCTTAGGCGTCTCTCCAGCACAATGGCTGGGAAGGCTTATGGAGAAGTCTACATGCGACAACTTTAGAAGCACATTTTCTGAACCAGCCAGCAGACATGTGAATGAACTTGAAACTGAACGCCCCTTTAGACAACACCTGTGACAACCTCGGGTTCAACAGACTTGACTGTAGTCTCCTGGGGCTTGAACTGCTCCACTGAGCTATTGCAGCAATAGGTAACTAGCACACCCAAGAGGAAGCTCTTAAACTAGAGGGCAGCTGAATCAGGGACAAACCTATGGCACTTCTGACCAGCAGAATAACAGTCACAGGTTCTGGGAATTAGGATATGACTATCTTTACAGGAACCATTAGCCTGCCTTCCATGGATGTTTCTAAAAAAACTTTTTAAAAGTAATTTTTAGAAAAACCATCAATTTCTGCCAACTATGCATAAAATGGTCACAGGAGATTAAAATGCTGTAAACACGGTTTGTGATTAAACTTCATTGGTATATGCTGAATGAACTGTCATGAACGAATAACTAAATTCTTTAACAAAAGGTTGAATGAGAAAAAACAACTTAAAAGACCCTAAAATATCAACGTCTGCAGAAATACCTACCACAACGTCACCATTTTCTCTGTTCTATGCTGAACTGTAATTATTATTAATTGCTATAATTCGAGGGGAGCTTTTTCTCTTCATGTCTCTCTCCTTCTAGACATAGGGTCTCACTGCGTAGCCCTGGCAGGCTGGGACTTGCTACGTAGACGTCTACCTCCTGAGCGACTTGATTGAAAACACACTGCTACTCCTGGTTTTTGCTTTGTCTTTAGGTAAGTTTACTGGCTGTTCTGTCATCTCCGTTCTGCTGAACCTACCCACTCAACTTTTTGCTTTCAAACAATTTTCAGCTCTAGAATTTCTATTTGATATGTAATATATACACATATTTATACTTATTAGGAATAGACATATTACATATAAAATTTCACTTCCTTTGTTGAGATGTCATATTTTCTTTCATTACATCATTATTTTCCTTCACATATGGGGCAAAATTATAACTGCTTTAAATTGTTTTACCCATTAATTCTAATATCTGGCTAACTTCAGATAGGTTTATATCTAGAAAATGAGTCATACTTTTCAGTAAAATAATTTTGAACTCAATGTGCATTGCAGAGGTTATGAATTGTGTTACATTCTTCAGGGATGGTAAATCTTTCCTAAGCAGTAATTCAACTTCTATGTCTTAAATGGGAGATTAAGTCTTGCGTGATTCTTGGATCCTTCTCAGTAAGCGGCTCCGAGTCCGGTTATGCACAGATGTCTACAGAATTTGTCCCAGGAAAGCTCTCTCCTTTTCCCTTCAGGATGCTGTCCACTCCCGCCCTCACGCCCTGCTTTTCAGAGACAATAGTCATTCTGAGCTCTGTCCTTGGTTCTTAGGCCAGAAAGAGTTTTGGCTCTTGTCCTAGCTTCGGCTGCTTTGATGGGGCATGTGGAGCTTGGGCGCAGAGTAGAAATTTGTTCTCCTCTTCCCGTCTGGTGGGCCCTCCTCAGTATATGCATGCTTTGAGCCATTTCCCAGGAATTCTTACAGAAAGCTGTTTTCATATTCATCATACTTCAGTGTTATCTATAAGATCCATGGGTCCAGTTTGGATATGAGATGTTTTTAGTTATTTGTAGGGTTTTTTAAATGACAGTTTATTTTCAAAAGAAAAAAAATTGAAGAGTAATATTCTAACCAGGCAATTCTAACATCAAACATCAAAGCATTTATTTGATGAAGATAGTAATTACTGTCAGCAATCAAACACTACACAAACTGCTCAGTGAATAAAGGATAAAGTCACCATTAAACAATGTTTACTGAATATTTTCTAAGTCACAGTAACCACTAGAGAATCCAGTGATCAGGTACAAAGTTAGCATCAAGTACAATCTTTATATAAAAACAGTATGGCCAATGTGTCTTACTTCCCTTTCGTGTTCCTAAGGTCAGGAGATGGCTTAGTGAGTTTGTCACCTTAATAAATTCTTTAATTTAGTATTAAATAATGAATACTAATTTTGTTAGGATTGGAGTAAAGGGGGTAGGTCAAAGGACAAATTGCCTAAAATATAAGTTCATTCTTTCTTTGTATCCTCAGATGTGTTTATGCTATGAGTAATGGTTGTAAAAAAATAAATTACAAGCATGAGTCAGTTTTACAGTTAATTACTATAAATTTGCCTTGTATTTTTAACAATGGTTGTTTGGCTCTGAAGAAGGCTAAAAATGTGTTGAAGAGTGTGACTTTTTCCTGCTATGCTTGGAGGAAGGCTGCTTTCTGATGTGTCTGTTTCTGATCTGTTACTATTTTTGATCTCAAATCTTGGGTTCCCCGTCTTTGCTCAGAGGGTCATCCAACAGTTTAAGTTACAGTCCTGCTAGACCTTTTTTAAAAGAAAGATACTAATTACATTTCAAATTAAACATTTAATTAAGGACTGAGCTATAAGTAGGCATACAATAAACCCAAACACTCAACAGAAAACTCATAATTGTGAAACCTATCTCTGCATGTCTTCTTCCCAAGGCTTATTTACTTCACGACTCCTTGTCACCTGAGGCATTCAGCACACACCATTTCTTTGTCCCTCCCTAGCTTTGAATTAAACAAGGCCAGTCCTGCTCCTGAAGCAGGCAAAGAAAACAAACGGTGGTCGCATGGCAACGCCCAACTCCTTCCACGCACCTAGCACAACTCGGGCAGTGCTGCCAAGGTGACAGCCTTCACGCTGCGAAAACTTGTTTTCCATAACCTAGCGCACACCTTTAATACCAACTCTCAGGAGGAAACAGGTGGACCTCTGTGAGTTCGAGGTCAGCCTGGTCTACACGGAGTTCCAGGCCAGCCTGGTCTACACGGAGTTCCAGGCCAGTCAACTCTACAGGGTGAGACCCTGTCTCAAACAAAACAAAATAAAAATTAAAAGAAAAACAAACAGCCGGGCGGTGGTGGCGCACGCCTTCAATCCCAGCACTCGGGAGGCAGAGGCAGGCGGATCTCCGTGAGTTCGAGACCAGCCTGGTCTACAAGAGCTAGTTCCAGGACAGGCTCCAAAACCACAGAGAAACCCTGTCTCGAAAAACCAAAAAAAGAAAAAAAGAAAAACAAACAAAAACCCAAACACCCTCCCCCCCCAAAAAAACCTCACCTGTTTCTCAAGTCAGGGACTGTCACCTTATGAAGCACCCCCACCCACCTATTAAAGTAATTCTGACCAGAGGCTCCACCAAGGCGGCAGTTATGGCCACCACCTAAGCCCTGCTACTGCACAGGAGGATTTTCCATCCCAGGCTACCCCAAACCAATCCCCAGGGTCAGCAGCCATAGAAAGCTGGTCCTCACCTCCCACCAGCAAATCCTTCCTCAGCCCTGCTCAGCTCCCTCTCATGTCCTCCCTTTCTCCTTGCCCTAGAGCTTCAAACCCTCTCCTCACGCCCCATCTCTACTCTTCACCTAAATGACTCCCTTCAGCTCGACCCCACTCCTGCTCACACCCACTGCTCCTCACACCCACCGCTCACACCCACAACCTGCCGGGTCCCCCCCGCCTTCCGGGCGTGCGCGTGGCTGACACACTCACGCGAAGAAGGGGTCGTCCTCAAAGCCGCTGCTCAGCATCCGGAACATCGTGGCTCCGCGGAGGGCGGCGGGCACGGGTGGAAATGGGCGCAGCTCGCCGCGTCGCCCCCAGCCTTCTCTCCACTCGCCCGGCGCGTCTGCCTGCGGCCAAGGCCGCGCCCGCGACTAAGGCGGGGCCTGACGCCACGCTGCTTCTCCATTGGCTCCGGCCCTGTGACGTCACTAAGGGAGGCGGGGAAGGGGAGGCCAGCGCGAGGCTGCCACGGCAACCGCGGTAAACACACGGGAGGCTGGAAGTTTGGCTCTAGGCCCATGGGACCTTTCAGCGAGGCTCCCCAGAGACAGTTTGGTATCAGAGCCGCGGGAAACAAAACAGCAGACCAGCTCTTTATGACCTTGGCCAAATCGCCCTTGGTCCCGACTGTTTTCTGGTGGTAGCTGATCAAATAATGAAAAAAAGTGAGAAAACGTTTTGAGTACAGTTATCAAGTAGTGTATTCACGTCTATCAGATTTCAAAAATAAAACTAATACATATTTCTGTGATCTAAAACTCTAAGTAATACACAAACACGTAGACATGGGATCAAAATAAAAATTACTTTTGGTTTACTCCCTGCCCATTTCAAGGACCAGAGCTCATGTTGAAACCAATAAATCTTCATCTTTCCAGCCTTCTTAACAAGCAGGATTTGGGCCCGAGATCTGAAACAAGCAGCCATTATCTAACTAAGATTCTCCTTCTATTATTATAGTATAAAGAAACCTATTTATGACAAGGAAACTGGTTTCCATCCTAAAGCAGTGCAATACCTTAACGATAAGATGAAACATTTTTAGTGATCTTCAGGAGATAGTATTGGGGAGACTTGGATATGGTATTATGGAGGAAGGGGCAACATTAAAGTTGTTGTACAATTGTTGATGTTTGGAAAGTGCTATAGAGGCCCTTCCGAGACCTAGAGACAGATTAGGACGAAGAATGATGGTAAGGAAGGGCGAAAGGTGTCTGCACCCTCAACTCACTGTGCCCACACTCTCTGGGGAGTTCCCTTGTGGAGGTGGAAGGGTGTCCATGACTCCTAGGACCCTGGGAGACAGAGGTGGCATGCTGCCATTCCGGAGAAGTGTGTGGGACCTGATTTGGAAGAGACAGGAGTACTTAGGGTTATTTTTGGAGCTGGAAATTGAATCCTTTGAACCTTTACCCCTCCCCCCATTTCACCAGGTTTCTCTGCAGTCTGCTTCCCTGAGACTATTGGCTTCAGGCAGGGCAGGCTTCACAGTCTAAGATGACACGGCCCTTCCAGGAAATACATCGGCTATTTTAATTTTCCTCTGCCCTCAGCATGATGCTCGGCACGATGGCAAAACTTTCGGTACGAAATTAGTTTCTGTTTGGTACAAAGCAAATGTGCGAGAGATTGTAGTTTAAAAGAAAACATAAAAGGAATACAGGCCGTGGCATGACAAACAATAATATTAAAATACTTCTGCACAGAGGCTAAATAAAGAAAACTGTGAGAAAAAGCTCCATCTTGTTGCATGGAAGTTCACACCATTTTTGAAACACACAGGAACTTGAATTCGGGGACAGGCTGGTAGGGATCCCCCAGCGCATACAAATGCACACAGTTTAGACACCTAGTATAATGCCTTTTTAAAAGGTGGTAGAAGAAAAAGAATTGGAACCAAAAGCCCCATGACATCTATTGTAAATGAGGACAAAAGAAGGGGTGGGTCAGGAGAGGATGAACACCCCATTGAGGAAGCGATGGAGATATGGAGCAGGCAGAGAGGGGTCTTGGAACTGGCTGTAAAGACAATTATAATAACTATTAGTTGTGAAGCCCTCCTGCAATTTATGTTGTGTTGGGGGGCGGGGCTGAAAATGAAAAGGTAGCATGTGCCAACTGACAAACTGGGAAGAGTGAGAGGGGATGGGGCGTACAGTCACAAATAGGGGCACTACATCTTACCGAGAAAGTAAATTTGAGCAGAATGTTCTAAGAAGGAAATATGTATCTTTCTGAACTTTCTAGGCTGGTACAAAGGTGCCTGATATCTGATACATGTATAGCTCTACTCCTGTGACTTGAAACTCACCTTCAGGGAGTAAACTAATAAGCTTTCTTTATTAGGATAACAGTTCTCACTTGTTCTTCTTATGTCCCAAACACTGCCCTAAGTGCTTTCAAATACATTTTTTCAGTTAATCCTTCCAATACTATGTGTACTAAGATGATTATTCTTGATTACACATGAACACATCAATGCCCAGAGAATTGATGGCTCACTCTAAATTGAGATTTGCCCTGCTCCAAAGGTTATATTATCTCAGCCATCTGACTTTGCCTCCCTGTAAAGTTTACAAGGGTCACGTACTATCATGTTTGTGTGGCAAATTGCATGTTCACACATGTAATCTCTAGCCACACTCCTGCTTGGTTTCATTGGGAAAAACACACTGACAAAGTCAAGGAAAGACTTGCAAAGAAATGTGTGAAATAAAGCCAATTCTGCAACTCTGCTAATGACACCAAGGGTTAAAAATGTCAGCAAGGCCCAGGCTTTTCCACCCACTAACTCACAAGATTTTTAAGAAAGACTAGTTACATCTCAGATGCTATTCTAGCCATTTAGAATACAAAACTCCCTGGCCTATTGGAGCTTACATTCCAGCTCATTAACTCATGTGTCCGAGATTCTACAAACAGTTACAGCATCTTAGAAATGTTCAACAACTTCTAGTATATTACCTCAAGTGCCCAAGAACGAAGAAATCATTATTTTAGTATAATATCTCAAGTTCCCAAGAATGTGGAAATCATTATTTCTAGTCTTGTATCTCAAGTGCCCAAGAATGAGGAAACCATCGGGCTTTGAGTGCTAGATTTTTATGTTATTGTATTTCTCCACTGCGTTTTAGATGGTTATAAGCGTCTTTGCAACTGTTGATTCTAGTGCACCCACAAACTTTGTACCCTAGTCTAAATGCCTTTTCAACAGTGCGTAGATATTGCACCTGGTGAATTTTACTGTCAACCTGACACATCCCAGAGTCACCTGGGAAAATGAGCTATTGCTTCGGTCAGATTGGCCTGTGGCCAAGCTTTGGAGGAGTTGTTTTGGTGGATGATACATGTGTGATGTATCCCTAGCACGATCCCTAGGTATCTGAGCCTGGGCTGTGTAAGAAAGCCAGAAGAGCAAGCCAGAAAGTGAGCAAGCCTGGAAGCAGCACCCCTCCATGATCTCCACTTCAATTCCTGCTTCTGGGTTCCTGCCTCTGGCTTCCTCCCTGACTTCCCTCAGGGAGCGGCTGTTACCTGAAGGCATAAGCTGAAATAAACCCCATCCTTTACAAATTGATCTCAAACATGGTGTTTCTCACAGAAACAGAACGAAACTAGGACAAAAGTGCTCTAAGAACAAGACAGCAAATTAAACTCATCATTTGTCCTGTGCCAACCATGGAGGGAAACATAATATCTTGGAGTAGCTGGCATATGTAAACACCACCAAGTTACAGATATGAAGGTATTTTTTTCCTTTTTAAAAAAAATTTATTTATATTATTTTATGTGTCTGGGTATCTTGCCTACATGCACAGATAAGTACAATGGAATTGATTCCCTGGAAGTGGAGTTACAGACAGGTGTGAGCTCTTATGTGGATGCTGAGACTAGACTCAGGTCCTCCAGAGGAGCAGCCAGTGCTCTTAACTGCTGAGCCTTCCTTTCAGCCACACAAGAGCTTTTATGGGGCAGGGGGAACTAGAGACAAGGTTTCTCTGTATAACTGTTGTCAGAGGCCATTCCCAGTTACTCAGACCACGAAATAATCACTCAGAAACTATATTTACAATGTTGTTTGCTCAATAGCTTGAGTATATTGCTAGCTAGCTCTTACAGTGCTGGGATTAAAGGTGTGTGGTCCTAAGTGCAGGGATCCCCTTTGTGTGAGCTCTGTTTCTCATTTAGACAGATTGAATGCCAAGTAGCCCAGGGTGGCCTTGAAGTCAGAGAGAGCCAACTGCCTCTGTCACCGGAGTGCTGGGATTAAAGGTGTGTGCCTCCACTGACTGGCTTCATGGCTAACTTGTGGTTTAGCTCTGCACTTTGATCTTCAGCCAAGCTTTATTAGATCACAAACAAAAGATCACCACAGCATCTGCTGTGCTGGGATTAAAGAAAGCATTACTAATGCCCCAGGAAACTTCCTCATGCTACTTCCTAGGCCACACCCCTCAAGGATAAGTAATATTCTGAGATTTTCTTTTTTCCTTGAACCCATTTCTAGTGCAGCATGTTCAGACAGCTTATTCTTTCTTACTGTGTATGAAGTTGCTGCTCATCTCTGATGGAGTTTTGGACTGTTCCTCTATTTTGTGTTTAAAAATAAGGCTTATATGACTATGCTTGTATAGTTTATAAATCAGTGCTCTGCTCTTCTTAAGCTTTTATTATTGAGATCCTGAAATATTTTCTTAAAGAGAAGTATTTTTAAAATTTCTCATAAAGAGCATTTTCCTATTGACTTGGCACATAAAAGTTGGCTAATGTTTTGTGTTTATAGATGTATGCTGAATTTTCCAAAATAAAGGAGAAAAGCTCTCCCCAAGCTCGAGATTCTACAAGATCCAATGTGGATTATACTCTGTTCCTGTAAATAAGACTTCTGCAGACCCAGAGACAAGTTATTTTGGGCTCTTTTAGTCTCTTTAAATTAAGAGCCATTCATTGCCCAACCCTGTTTCTTTTTGATCATCAAACCCCGTTAAATGCATTTTTAGCAGACCACTGGCTTCCACCAGTCCCACAGCAAAGAAAGGCATCTGATAGCAACTGAAACACATAGCAGAATTTTCTCAGCCTGGCTAAAACTTGTTTATTTATGGCATTTGGTAAATGGCTTGATTTGTGACTTTATTCGTTCCGTGTCTAATAAAATCTCCTTTCATAGCTTTCATAGTGGGACATCTTATTCAGGGCAACCCGACTGGGTGTATATTACTATGGCCATTCATATTTGGCTAAGAATGAGCTACTCCTTATTCCCTTTGAGGTGAGATCTATGTTTTGCATCTACATAGATAAGAAGGAACACTTTAAACTAAAAAAAGAAAGCATAATTATGGAGCCAAAATCA